GTCAAGTGTGATACAAGTAAGACTTTATTAACTACATAAACACTTAAACTAGTCTAACACACACACACACACACACACACACACACACACATACAGTTGGCATAGGAAAAGGTGTTAAAGCTTAAGCAGTAAAGAGAAAATAAATAAAGCATGAAGTTATGGTAAAATTTGATATTCAGCAGATCTACAGCCTGAAGGAAACTCAGTTTCTCAGTTCAAACACACCTTTGTAAAAGGTGCAACTGATACTTAATGTATCAATTAATAAGACTACATAAGCAAAAATTACTCTAGACAAACATTTGTGTGTCTTTTTTATTTAAGTGTGTTGAAATTTCTTCTTCTGCATTCTACTGTACGGACATAAATTTACTTTCCCTTCAGCCTGAGGCTTATTCATTTCACTTTTGGTGTGAAGGGCTTTTTATATTTCCAAAAAATTCTACTGTACGGACATAAATTTACTTTCCCTTCAGCCTGAGGCTTACTCATTTCACTTTTGGTGTGAAGGGCTTTTATATTTGCCAAAAATATAACTTTTTTATTTTAAAAACAAACAAGCAAGCCCTGTCCAGATTTAAAAAGTAACGCAAAAGTAACGTAACACATTACTGTCACGGGCAGGGTGTACTAGAGAGCAGGCAGGACGACGAAGATGACGAAATAAAGGATATTTAATGATTGCAAGCAGGAGATCCAGACAGGGTAGACATCAACAGGAGAACATTGACAGGGACATAGACATAGACAATAACCAACAAACTAGGCTACAGGAGGCAGGAACTAATATAGGGCGGATAATTGGTGGCAGACAAGTAACTTTCCCCAACACTGCTCATAGAGACCAAACATGGTATAGGTGAGGTTATATTAACTAGTGATCTATCTTAAGCATGCATAAAACATATACAATACACAAATCCATATACAAGAAGGTAGTAATCATACACAATGACTTGGGGATATGCATGATAGAAAAATGTGTCTATGAATTAATGTAAGAAGTAATTTCCTATAGCAGTATGTGTCTGTTTTAGAGAGAACTGAGTAGGGAGGAAGATTCTCTCTATATACTTTTAGGTCGTAAAAGTTTATCTGATCTGGCTGAGGTGTAGTGGTTGCCATGGTAACCAAGGTCCTGTGGTCGTTCCCAGACATGCTGGCACCCAGTATGTTTATTGGGTGAGGTGTCTGTGATTATTTGTTACTCTGATGAATAATTGATTTGTTAAATCTAATGAAAAATTGTGTCTGATCGGTCCAAATGCTACATAAGCTCAAATCAATGAGGCCTGTGATCAGTCGGTTTCAAATGAAATACAAAAACTGTGCTAATTGAAAGAAAACAAGTTGATAAAAGATTGTATACAATATTTGGAAAAACTTTATGGACCCTTTTCACAAGACTGTGATGACACGTTTAACGGTCATACAATGACTTGGGGATATGCATGATAGAAAAATGTGTCTATGAATTAATGTAAGAAGTAATTTCCTATAGCAGTATGTGTCTGTTTTAGAGAGAACTGAGTAGGGAGGAAGATTCTCTCTATATACTTTTAGGTCGTAAAAGTTTATCTGATCTGGCTGAGGTGTAGTGGTTGCCATGGTAACCAAGGTCCTGTGGTCGTTCCCAGACATGCTGGCACCCAGTATGTTTATTGGGTGAGGTGTCTGTGATTATTTGTTACTCTGATGAATAATTGATTTGTTAAATCTAATGAAAAATTGTGTCTGATCGGTCCAAATGCTACATAAGCTCAAATCAATGAGGCCTGTGATCAGTCGGTTTCAAATGAAATACAAAAACTGTGCTAATTGAAGTTTTTCTTTTGCTATTTGAGCAAATGGGAATGCAAAAAAATATATGTGTGGTACTCTCCCATTCACTGCTCTTCAAGTTTACCCAACTATGACGACTTCCACTGCTGAGAAACCCGGAAATGTGAAAAAGGTCCATTAGCAATTTTATGTAGGCCGGTCATTTTTGACTGAGAACACCACAAGTGTAACAAGGTGCCAAATCCCCCCCAAAAAAAACTTTTTCGGGGGGAAGTTTTTATACCCTGTGTGAGAAAAGTTAGTAAGTTTTAGTCCAATGTGATAACATTAATTAGCATTTTTGGGGAAAAGAAAATCCTCTCTGGGTCAGCATTAGGGTTAAAGGTGCACTCAGTAATTTTTTGTTTGTTGCAAATTGCAAATATGACAGTTGTCGTGGACTAATTTAATTTAATTGAAATGAACTTTTATTAAAAACTTTTATTTGGCTGATCATATGACTGGAGTCGGCATCATACTGTATGTGAATGCAAATGACTTTAAACAAATTTATAAAAAGTACTATTCATTTCTTTGTGTAAAAACCTTTCTAATGAGGAAAAATACTGAGTGTACCTTTAATGTCATGGTACCGTACAGCTCTTACAACGAATGAATTTATTATACTCATTATACTCAACAAATGTCAGCTTCTGAAGGAGTAGATCCAGTAGTTTTCTGTATAATGCTATTATACTCTGAGCCAGACCTACTGTTAAAATGTGGAAGACTTGGCAGGGATCAATTCATCACTGTCTTTTTGAGGTTTTTAGCTGTTCCTTCCACTGCTTAGCAGCCCACTACGTTCACTTTGAGCTCTTTCCCTCCTCTTCACAGAATAAAAATCAATCCATCAAAGTTTTGCCTTCAAGGATCTCAAGTGTAATATCCTCATATGGCTTTTGAATGGTCAGATCTCATCTCAGATTGCTTTTCTCTGGGATGTAATGACGCCTTTCTAGAAATAGTAATGATTTTAAAGACTGAGAGAATGCCCTAATGAGGGCTGACTGGTCAATATTGGATGTGCATGACTCAACTGAGCAATCCTTAAAGAGATTAATTAATCACCACCCCAAAGCCATCAAAAAGATGACTTCTTTTTCAAATAAGGTTGCATATTTTAGAGAATAAATGAGTTGGTTCTCTGTGGAAAGCAACAGTAAAATAAAATAATTTTTGACTTTTATATAATTATGGTAATTCCATCATAAATGTGAACAGAAAATGTGAAGGTTTTCAACATTTGGGACACACACATAGGAAGCGCTCTCATCTTCATTTAATCCAGTGATTCTTATCAGTAATTATATTCCAGTTCTTATGAATTCTCCGATGCCACCCGTCTTGTAGGATTATCAGCATGAAGTTCACAGCTAGGATGAATTCATTTCCATAATGAAGCTAAATTTGTAGCCTAATGTCCTTACTGCTGAAATCGCAGATTTACCTCTTGTTTGCCAACCACAATCTCCCCTCAGATAAGAGCATACATCTTATCTCATGTAATTGAATTGATTTCAAATCTAAGCGCTTTTTATTAAATTAGTGAAGTTGTCCGTGCCAAAGACTTCAGTGCTACACAGACAATATCAACATCTAGGCGAGTCAGTGTATGTAAACAATATCAATAAAGGATCCATTTTAGTAAACGGAAGATTTTTGACAGATGGGTGAATAAAGTAAGAATTAAATGCACCCACTGATAGTGCTATTTATTTGCATTTGCTGTCTGCATGGTTTTAGCGATTTATTCACTTATTAAGAGAATTATGCAAATCAGGTAACAACATAAAGTCACCCATAAAAGTGATGCTGGTTGTGAAGTAGGTGAGTTTTTGCACTGAAATTTCCCATGAAAAGTGACACAACTGTCAAGTATTCCCTGAGAATTTTTTCATTAACTTCATTTGATCACCTAATTTAATACACTATATGTTATATGTTCACCAAGGCTGCATTTATTTGATTGAAAATACAGTCAAATTTATTATAATTTAAAATAGCTGTTTTCTATGTTAATATATTTTAAAATGTGATTTATTCCTGTGATGCAAAGCTGAATTTTCAGCATCATTACTACAGTCTTCAGTGTCACATGATCCTCCAGAAATCAGTATAATATGCTGATTTGCTGCTCAAGAGACATTGCCTATGTTGAAAACAATTCTTATGGAAATTGTGATGCATTTTCAGGAATAAATTCCTTTAAGGAATAGAAAGTTCCATAGAACAGCATTTATTTGAAGAGATAGAAATCTTTTGTAACAATGTAAATGTCTTTGTTTCTGTTGATCAGTTGAATGTATCCTTTACTGACCTCAAACTTTAGAACAGTAGTGCAAGTCACGCAAATATATTTTCTTATTAGGGCTTTCGTTATAGAATGTTAATTTAATGGATACATAAATGCTTATGTTAAAAATCATCTAAATGGAGAGCAACGGAGTGAAACAAAATGCTGGAGTCTTGAGTTTTTCAAAGTTGTCTGTTCTTTGAAAAATTGTCTATTCAGTGCTTTCGGTCTTTGAATTAATTTGGATTCTTTTCTCAGTATATATTGATGCATGCAATTAATCAGCATATCAATTAATATGATTCAAAGTTTTAATCAGTTGACAGTCCTAATTTTCATATTGAGAATAAAAGTTAGTTTATCAGAAAGTACTTTACAATAATTAAGGTTCTCGTTATGATTATAACTTTATACTATATGAGGATTCTGATGCTCTTTTTACTTGTTCATTACATGTATCATTCTGAATATAATTGGAAATATCTTTATTACTTTACCTGTTTTCACAGTACTTCATCTATTCCCTTGACAAAGCGCTTTTAAAGTTCACCTCCACTCTTATGAACAACTTTCTTCATCTTTATTAGATTAACAAAGGCATTTAATTGTCGCGTGTGGATTTAGTATTCATCACTTGTACGTTTTCGTATCTCAGAGTTTCGGCACACTGAATCCAATCACACTACCTCTTAAATGTGATTAAGCTCTAATTAGCCAATTAGCGAGTGAGTTTGGTAGCTGGATTCTGTGCAGTGCCGAAGGAGCCTAAGGCTTGGTCAGAGGGAATGTTTATCCATGACGGACGTTTCAAATGTAGCAGCGAACAGCCTTTGCCAAAAGTCATCCATTAGCTGTGGAGTTGGGCCACATTTTCATTCCCAAATCTAGCAAGGTGTCTACACTTACTGGATCACTTGCCGGCAAACATAGCAAACAACTCACACATCTTCCTGCCGCTTTAATGCTCCAGTTGATAGAATGGATAGTAATGCGTATGTGTGTTTATATCTCTAGAGTACATCTGGTGATTTGATGATACGGAATATACAGCTGAAACACGCCGGAAAGTACGTCTGTGTGGTCGATACGGATGTCGAGAGTTTATCAGCGGCGGCTATTTTAATCGTGAAAGGTAAGAGAGCGACGGCCAGCCATGCAGGGTTTGGATTTGGAAGGAAAACCTGATAGAAGGACACTCAAATGCTTTGCCAAGGAAATGTATCTGTCTGTTGAATTGATCTTTTATTACATATTCCATTAGAGGTAATTAGAGGAACGTATCAAAGCTGTTTATCAAAGGTTACAAATGTGATTTAGCGGGATCAATGTCTTTCAATTGAAATTAGATTGACATGCCAACTTTTACTGCCAGAGCCTATAATAATGCTTTATAACAGTGTAGAAGCAGGGTATAAAATTAGCGCTCAGCAAGCACAGAATGCATGTAAAAACTGGCTGTAGTGACCAAATAAAAATCACTTTTATAAGGATCTGCATGGTTCTCAAACAGGGGCCGGGATCCACTAGAGGGCCTCAGCAAACTTCCAAGAGGGCTTCAAGATGACTTAAAATGGTTAAAAATAATAACGAGCATTAAAATCAGCTAAAACAACTAAAAATCAAGATATTTGTCATTTTAATTCAGTCCCATTGTCTTGAATAAAAACTGAATAGGCTGCTACAGCCATGACCTGGAAAAACCGGAAGACTAGTTTGCTGTGGATTCCAACAAGATTTTCCTATGGGTTTTTATAATGGGTTTTTTAAATTTATGAGTAAAACAAGGTCTGTTAAGTTAAACAAAAATTGCAGATTAACTTGGACGTTTCAATCTACATTACAAACACCCATACTGATCTACAGTGTGTTTATTTTTTAAAACGTGTGTTTTTAATAATGTAATAAGTAACTACATAAGAATGTTTGGGGTGTGAGTGTGTGCACTTTATGTTGTACAACAAAACAAGTATTGTCAAGTTATATTTACCACAGACCTCGTTTTACTTATGAATATAAAAACCCATAGGAAAATCTTGAGCGAACCCATGACGAATTAGTCTTCCAGGTTTTGACGTCACAGCTGCTGTGCTCTATAGATGGGGAGTCAAATTATAAATGTCTGACTTCTACATATAGAAAAGTCATATAAATTAATGCAATCTCAAAACTCAATGGCCATTTTTCAATGAATATACATTTTTCTAGTTCTGCCTAGCTCTAAAATATTTTATCAGGTAGAAACTGTGAGTAAGAAGTATTCTTACAAATCATTATTTACTAGATAAAGATTAAGGCATTGGTTAAAAAGAGAGGGAACCCTGAAGAACATTCAGCTCCTAAAACGTCCGGCAGTGTAATTTACAGAACTAGGAGTGTCTGGCATTTGAATATTATGCACAGCCTTGGTTTAAAATGAATTATGTAAATGTTAGTCTGGCCAAAGATGCATGCAAACTCATCGCATTAAACTTCCAAAACCAAATATAAAGAAACAAATTCACAATTTGTCCTCATGTTTTGTCTTCAAATGCTTTTTAGGTGAGAAACAAACACAGTCTGATCTTATTATTGACACTACGAGTGACACAATGACCTGCGCTGACAAAACCACGAAACATTATGCTCCATTTCTTTATATTTCCCCCCAAAGGAGTGTGATTTTGACAAAGGAAGACAATGCTCTGCACATTTATAATTGGAGGAACCAATTAAAGATGTGCAGAGGAAGGCCTGCTTGCAGCTTTTCAAAGGAGACATGCTGTAGCTGTTAAGAAAACAGCTCAAGCCTCTGAAAAGCTTTCCTATGATTCTCAAAGAGATCTAGTGTTCCCACAAAAGCAATATCTTAAAATGCAATAACACCTTTTAGAGACTGGTCTTATATCATAGCTTAGTGGGGCGATAAGCGGAGAACTTCCTGGCAGGGGGTGAGCAAGGTTAGATGTCAGTGAAGGTAACTTCATTTCTAATTGCTAATTCACTGCTAATTGTCTGATTGAATCAGGTCCCCCAGGAGCTCCAGATGGTGTAACGGTGGAGGAGATCACAGACAGCACGGCTCAGCTTTCTTGGAGACCTGGCCAGGATAACGGCAGCCCCATCACAAGCTATATCATCCAGGCCAACACAGCTTTCACAGTGGGCTGGCAAGCGGTGAACACGGGTAACAATACAGGATTAGCTAAAGCTAGTCAAGCGGAGCATCAATTCAGCGAGAGACTGAAATTACCATAGCACATCTCATGTGCTTTTAAGAAAGAAGCTTATGCTCGCTTTGAGTACATATAAGGGCCTCTAAGTACTAACGCAAAACAACTTAATCTGGTCTCTTGCCCTGCCGCTCGAATCCGAATTCATTCGAACAACATCCCACCCAGACAGAGATGTGGAATAGAAATTTTTTTTTTTATGTTTTGTGACATTTCTGGCTTACTGTAAACATTGGCTCAAAATTGGGCTCCTGTTGTTGACTTTCATGGCGCCGCCGTGTAATCCAGGTATTTTCGGTTAAACCGTGACTTTCCTGTTTGCTCACAGTCCCGGAGGTGATTGATGGGAACACCTTGACAACAACGGTGGTGGATCTGAATGCATGGGTGGAGTATGAGTTCAGAGTGCTGGCCAGAAACAGCGTCGGCGTGGGGGAACCGAGTCCTGCTTCTCTTAAAACAAGAACTGAAGATGCAGGTGAGTCACCAACGGTGTTATTTATACACAGTTTTTAACTAAAGGTCAAATCAGAAAATTTCTTATTTTTTGCCATGTAATAGTCATTCATTTAAGCTATTTTAATTTGATCTAATTTTAGTCTATGAAAATTACATTTTACTTGAGAGAGAACAAAATTACAGCAAACATTCAAACATTTTATATATTAAATTAAACATACCAACATTGGAATCATTCGGTTTTATATACAGTATTGATACTTTTGATAAGAAACAAAGTCTCATCTTTCAAATTATGTTAATTTTTTTTGGGAAATTCAAACAATAAATGTCTTTGACGCTGTTTGATGTGGCGTGACAGATTGCTGTTTAAACGTCTCAGTTCAAACAGCACCGCGGAGCGTGAGTGAGCGTAATCATCTCTTCCTCTTTACTACTAAAATGTCATGTAGCATTTCATTTACCTCAGGCAAGTCATCAGTGTCCACAGCTCATTAGTTCGCTAGAGAAATGAAGTGCAGAGAAGAGCATTTCATGAAATATTAGACTATATACTCATTATATTTTACTGTACCTGTTAGTAATGTCTTAATTATTTAATGTATGTTTAAATAAATCTGTTATGAAACGAGTTATCACAGCCACTGTGTAAATGAATATATTTAAACAACAAATAGAAATGTTATAATTTAGAAGTTGAATTAAAAACTGCATTATGTGCAATTTACATGTTTGCATAAAACTTTTTTTAAGTTGAGTGTTGATTATTATATTTAAAAAAATAAATAGATAATTAAAATAAAAATAATTAAATTGAAGTTTGGGCCCTGTTGGTAATTGTAGCCTTATAGTAATGTAAAAGAGTTCCCTATAATTTAGAGCATAAGCTGACGGGTAGATTTTTATCCCTAAGAACATTTTAATTACAACTGAATTTATTTAAATTGTATTTATTTTATTTAAGAGCAATTTGTTCAGTAAACCACTGTTTAATTAAAAAAACACTGTTTAATTTTATATTTAGTTTTTTTCGCACTGCTGTACCGAAACCATACCGAACCGTGACGTCAAATGTTTGTGTGCTGTTACTCCACTACTAGATAACTGTTATCAACTGTATTAATTTCTTTTAAAAATCTTACTAATCCTAAACTATTAAATGGTATTGTATGTTATGTATATGTCTGAATCTAATATGTGTATAGGATACGTTTGGGTTAATAAACCCACTAGCAAAGGGCTGTAGTTTACCAGTGTTCATTCAGCTTCTGCGAGCTCTATTTACTGTCAGTGGATTAGATGAAACAATCTTTTTTTTTTCCTAATTTTTTCTTGGGGAAAAAAAGCATTGAAAATATCTTGCACTGTTATTTTTTCTCATCATATTTTCATTACCAATACACTTTGATTAAAATCGTTTAAAGGGGTCATATGATGCTGCTAAAAAGAACATTACAGTGAAGCTGTGGCTTTAATTCCTTTAAAAACAATCATGTTTCCAGCTCCTTGTTGAGAAATGGCACTATAGTATGCAGTCTTTAATAAACAGCTGTTTTACTAAACTGTTCTGAGGTGAAATTCAATGCAGTCCCGTATCGTGATACGTATCGTATCGTGGCCTCTGTATCGTGATATGTATCGTATCGTGACTTTGCTGGTGATACACAGCCCTACTCTACACTGCCCAAAAAACTCGCTTTAAATATATAAAAACTCTTTAAATATAAAAAACGTACTTACAGTCTTTGAGTCAGAACAGCCGGCATTGTAGTCTACTCTCCCAGGATCAGGAAACGGTCCTCCATAAAATGTGCCCGGCGATTTCGGCGAAGGAGCGTCTGGAAGGACATGTGACGACCCCGGGCTGGACTCCGCTTCGTCCACGGTGAAAGCCAATTCGGCGATCCTCAGCGCAAAGTTGATGTATTTCCTCAGCGACCAGCACGGATCAGCTCTAGGCATGACGAAGCGGATATCGTCCTCTTTTGGAAGACCAAACAAAGTAGTTTCGCTTTCACAACGAAGCACACAGCGTCTTCAGGACATGGCGGCAGCGGCAATAATACTACAGTGAGAATAAAAGTTATGCCTTCTTTCTTTGCGTGAACATTTGGGCGGTGTTATGCAAATCTTCCCACATAGTGTCATAGGTATGTGGGGACGTGTTAGAACGAGCCATTTTAGGTAGGTGTGGCTGACTCTTAACTTTTATAAAGAATATCTCTTTGGATTTGAGACTTTAGTCTTTGCAACTTTATGCACCAAGAGCTTGTAACACTCCAAAGAGAAAGGAAAAATTTAAATCGCATCATATGACCCCTTTAATTGTTGTGATGATGTACATTATTCAAACACACAATCAAAACATCTTTTGTTAACTTACATTTTTGTTAGCAATTTTCTTTGACCCGATTAACAAAGAAGTGTTCAGAAGCGAAATTACTCCTAGATCAGAATTTCTGCCTTTCCAGAAGTATTAAGTACAGACTATTTCACAGACAGAACTGCTCTGCGTACTCTTGATCTGATTTAATCATGGCAAACTTCCTCAAAGGGTACGTAGAATGCCCATCAAATTAGTCAGCCAATCAGAACAGAGCTTGCCAGATCGAGAAAGCGCAATCCAGTTTTGTGTGCGGTTTGCATCAGATGGTCAGTAAGCGACTGTAGGCGGCCCGTGGGCGTGCTGTCTGAGGTTGAATCCACTAATGTTCAAGTGCCCATATTCTTCAAACGTCCCATGATGAAGCGATACAATTTCGGTGCTCAAGTGCCTCTTTGTATATTATAGAACAAATTCTTCGAGCATTATTGTTGAGAGACTCTTGGCAAATGGTGAAATTCACTAGAAACAAAGCCAGTTAACTGAGATGCTGCCCACAGAATCTTTTAAAAGCAGTTGCTAAGGGACCGGAGCTTTGTTTCATTTGATACTTGATAATGAGGCTTTGAGTAAAAGAAAAAGAAAAGCAACAATGAGGAAGGCAGGGGCTGCATCTATCCGCTGTACTGAAAACATGGCTGTTTTTTCTTTGTTTTTCTGTACGCAGTTCCTGACACGTCCCCCACCGATGTCGGAGGTGGGGGTGGCTCCAAGTCAGAGCTAGTAATAACATGGGAGGTAAGTCATCTGTCTATATTATCACTCCCTCTGTGCGAGGTAATAGTTTTGGCTAATTAAATGGAATTGAATGGGGGGGTTTATTGCCTCAGTCAAAGCCAAGCCTGTTTTCCATCTGGGCCCTTTACTCCCGTAATGGCATTCAATTCAAATTTGGTTGTATATTAGAAAGCGGTTCATTTGCGCTCTCAAGAGGTTGCATCACTTTGCGAAAACTGTGTGGGATTTGGAAAGGCGCTGGGTGTGAACCTGAGGCTGGATCTGGTCTGTATGTTTTAATATCACTATAGTTTCTTGTTTCCCTCCCAGCCTGTGCCTGAAGACCTGCAAAACGGAGATGGTTTCGGCTACATCATCGCTTTCCGGCCACTGGGGGAGGTCAACTGGACACACGCCGTCACCTCCATACCATCCCAGTCCCGTTACGTGTACCGGAACGAGAGCATCCCACCCTTTTCTCCATTTAGCGTCAAAGTGGGTGCCTACAACACCAAAGGCCAGGGACCGTTCAGCCCCGTTACCATTGTGTTCTCAGCTGAGAATGGTGAGACTGTCAATCGCATTACGAGAAGCGCACAAAAGCAAACCTTTTCAGTCGTTTGCAGTGTTTTCAATGGATTTTTCTTTTCGCTATGTATTTATTCATCTGTTGTAAGGTGCATAAAACATTGAAAGAACAGGCTGGAATTGATTCCTTTAGCACCAGCACTTTATTATGCGCAGCACTGAAAGAACACGGCTCATTTTATAATAAATGCTCAAAGAAAAGCGGGATACTGTAGGATATAGATTTAGATTATGTAATGTTATATCATTTTATGGGTTTTTCCAACACTGTTGGTGGCTGTTTTCTGTTCTTTTAGCAGTAATTTACCCTTTTTTAACAGGAAATATATTTGATATTTTGCTAAATGTCCAAGAATCCATAATGCAATTTTCTTTTTATAGTAACTACAAAGTAAAGCATGTACTATAATGGCTGTACGTGATGTTGTGTTGTAAATGTCAAGTGGTTTTAGCTCTGGAATCTCATGCTCAGCAGTGTGGGAATCTTTCAGCTAGTTAGGATCGGTTTGAGATGAGCTATTACAGCGTGGAGTGACGGGCAGACAGCGGTGTGTCAGGAAGCTACCGCATTAATTGAATTCCTGTACAGATAATGTTCCTTTATGTCACTCAACTATCCTATTAAAATAAAGACTAGTAATTTAGAGACAAAAGATTTTGCATCAGTCATTTATAAATGATTTTTCATCAGCCTCTGATTTGTGCACTGATGATTATGCTTTTCTTTTTTTCCTCATCTTGTCTCTTCTCTTCTAGTCTTGTCTTGTCTTTTTTGCACCTTACTTCTTCCCTTTTTGTCTCCTTGTGTCTTCCGTTCTCCTGATCTCGTCTTTTTTTTGTTTTATTTAATCTCTTCACTTTCAGTTTTGTCTCATTTACATTCTTCCATTGTCTTTTCTTCTTGTCTATTCTCTTTCAATCTTGTCTCATTTTGGTCTTCTCTCCTTGTAGTTGTGTCTCTTCTCATCCTGTTTTTTCATTGTTTTATCTCATCTCTTGTCTTTCAGTTTTATCTTGTTTCATCATTTCATTTTTTGTCTTCCTGTCTCTTTTCTTCTCTTTCCTTTCAGACTTGTTTCAGCTACGCTCCTTGTTGCATCCTGTTCTTCTCTTCTCGTCTTCTCTAGTCTCTTTTCTTATCTCGTCTTCTCATTTTATTCTCATTTATTCTCTTTCAGTTTGGTCTCGGTACATCCGTCTTTGATGCATCCTCTTTTCTTCTTGTCTACTCTCTTTCAATCTTGTCACATTTTGGTCTTCTCTCCTCATAGTCTTGTCTTTTCTCATCCTGTCTCATCTAATCTCTTCTCTTTCAGTGTTACCTCATTTCATCTTCTTCTTTTGCCTCGTCTCTTTTTTTCTTTCCTTACAGTCTTGTATCATCTTTTCTCTGTTGCATCCTAGTTCTTCTCTTCTCGTCTCCTCTAGTCTCTTCCCATCTCTAAATCTCTTTTTTTTTCTCTCATCTTATCTTCTCTCTTTTCTCATTTTGTTTGATCTTCTCATTTTTTCTCTTCTCGTCTTTTCTGTTCTCTTCTCTTTCCTTTCAGTCTCATTTCAACTTCTCCATTTTGCATCTTAGTTCTTGTCTTTTTATTTTCTCTAATCTCTTCTTTTCTCTCTGTTTTGTCTTTTCGCGTCATCTTCGCTCTTTTTGTCTCATCTCACCCCTTTCAAGTTTGTCTCTTTGTTGTATCCTCTTTCTTCCTCTTGTTTCTTCTTGTCCTGTCTTATTTCATCTCATCTCTTCTCTTGATCTTCTTGTTTTCTCTTTTTGTCTATTCTTGTCTCATCTAGTCTTCTCTGGTCTAATGTTTTCCCCTTCTCTTTTTTCAGTCTCATTTCAGTTTCTCTCCTTGTTCCAACCTACTGACCTTTCTGTCTTCTCTCGTTTTATCTCATCTCTTCTCATAGTTTTGTCTCATTTATAGCTCTCTTCGCTGCATCCTCTTCTTATCTCTATTCTTTCAGTCACATTTTCATCTTCTCGTTGTCTCATTTTGTTTCATGTCGATTCTTCTCTTTTAGCTTTGTCTTATTCGTCTTATTTTGGCTCTTCTTTTCTCATATTTCCTTATCTCTTTTCTTCTCCTTTGTTCTCATCTCTTTGCTTCTTTTCTGTCTTTATGTATTCATGTTCTTCTCTTTTTATCTTTCCTCTCAGAGCCCAGTGGCGTTCCAGACGGCGTGTGGGCCAGAAGCATTTCTGCCACTGAAATTGAAGTGAGCTGGCACATTCTCAGCGCTTCCCCAGAAAGAGTGTTGGGCTATGAGGTGCGTCCCTTCTTCTAAATGGAAATGACTCTCTGTCCGGTTTTGAAATGCACCGTGGGTTCTGTCAGAGCCTGTCATCTCCCACGCTGCACCTCAAAGTTCCCTCTGTACCCATGGAAATGCTCCATTTGAAAATAAGAATAGGGTACCCTGTTCTTACCGTATGCATAGGAGGCCCTCTCTGCCGCATGGGCGAAATGGCTTTTTTTCATCCTTTTTAAGGATGCAGAGAACACATTACACATTCCTCTGTGAAACTCTTCATCCATGTCACCCCAAACCCACTGTGTGGAAAAAGTGAAATACTCCTGTATAATAATTCTCCTGCACTGAACATAATGGCACCGTAGCATTATTTCTGCGAGGCTTTAGATCCCACAGGCTGTGCTTTCTCTCCATTGCTCTTGTAATCAGGTGGTGTACTGGGAGGACGATACAAAACCAGAGACCATGGGCAAAGTCAGAGTGTCTGCCAATCAGAACAAGGTTAACATCAGCGGTCTGAGAGGATACACTCAGTATTTCCTGACAGTGAGTTCTTTCAACACAGCAGGAACTGGCCCTCTTTCTCCCACCATCAATGTGACCACCAAGAAGTCCCGTAAGTATACGCTTTTTAAAATTCCCAGTTTATTTAGGCATTGCCACTGCAGGTATATAAAACCAATTATTCGTTGTTGTTGTTTTTTTTTTGTCTAATTTTAATATTCGCACTTTGTGAAAAAAGTAGAATTGTCCTTTTTAATATTTAGATAGGATAAAGACACCTGTCATTTGATATACTCTACTGTTATTACTGTTAAATCTTTTTTTACATAATTTTTTACCAATGGTTAATTTATTTGATTAAAAATACAGTAAAAATCAGTAGTATTGTGGAAAAATAAAACTCTTTTCGATTTGAATATGTTTTCAAATGCCATTTATTCCTGTGATGAAAAAGCTGAATTTTCATCAACCATTACTCCTGTCTTCAGTGTCACATTAATAGAAAGAATTAATTTGAAATGGAAATGTTTGTAACATTATAAATGTATTTACTGTCACTTTTGTTGTGTCCTTGCTGAATAACAGTAAAGAAAAAGAAAGATTTAAAGAATTATTGATTATAAGGTTATAAGATTCTGTCAGCATTTAATCAAGTCATCATTTCAAACCTCCGTACGGAAAAAATTTTGATATTTAAATAAATGTTCATGCTGCTCTTTCTCATACAGCGAAAGAATACAGTGACCAGCAAAAGTACCAAGTAGTCCTTAACTTGCATACTATATATTCATATGACCTCAAAAAACTTGGGATGTAACATACAAAGCATATTTTATATCGTATATATTTTATGTATTTTATATATTTTTTTGTGTTTGGAAAAGAGCAGTGTGAACATTCTACTAAATGTTTCCGTATGTGTTCCACAGAGGAAAAGAATGTCATACACGTTTGAAATGCCAGAACTGCCTTTTCTAGTTCTCGAACTATCCGTTTAATGTAATACATTATGAATTTATGAACAAACAGACAGCCAGGCACCTCTCCTGGCTTTCTGATGTCATCATATGTACAGTAACTAATAGGGGTGTTTCCTCTCAGCACCCGGGCAGCCACCTTTGAACGTGGAGTGGAATCTGATTGGCTCTAAGCTCACTGTTCATTGGGAGCCTGTCATTTCTCTGGAGATGGAGTCAGATGTTACCGGGTATCAGGTAAGTGCTTCCCAGCAATGTAAACCTCTAAGCCAAACTGTAGGGCATTATTTTCACATAATCATATTAGCTTGTTCTATTCCAGTGAGCATTTAGGAAACAACTACATTAAAGTGCTTATATTATTTCTCTTGTTGGACGATTACCCACCTTAGTGGTAACGGAAATTAAAAATAAAACTAATTTATACCGCAGATCTACAAAATATGTGCTGTACAGTATAGCAAAAACACCAGGTGTGCTAATAAACACTAGAGTTCCCCACAGTGTATGATAATTTGATTTTACTTCCTTTATCGACTAAAATAGCTTGTGCTGAATAAATCTAAGTGGTTTTTATCACCTCTCTCATTTGTTCTCTCCAGGTGTCCTACAGAAGGAACCGGCATAAAGAAATTAACACAATAACAACAAATCTGACCTCAGTGGAGCTCACGCTACCTGCAGATGATGATTACATCATTCAGATACGAGCGCTGAGTGACGGAGGAGAAGGGATGCCAACCGAACCCATCAACATACATAAACTTAGTAAGAACACACTTATTTTTTAATTTGATGCATTTGTGTGTAGTGGTCTCCTGAAATAAGTTTTTTTAGTCCAGTGTACACTATTATTCAAAGGTTTGGGGTCAATAATAATAATGTGTACTTTAATTTAGCAAGGAATAATAATAAAAATTCTAATAAATCGTTTGAACATTGTTCATCAAAATATCCTGAAACAAAAAATTATCAGTTTCCACAAAATAATTAAGCAGCACAAATGCCTAGTTCTTTCATGAAACTCTAGATGGCGCAGGCTGATGGGTCTTAACGTAACTGATGATATTCACAGCATTAATCTACTTGGCACAAGCTGATTGGTTCATGTTGCATACGCAGCCAATGAGCTTGCAGCTTTACATTTAAATGGTTGGTTAGTATTCACTAGAGCAGTTCGCGGCGCGCATTCAGAGTTCCTCTGAAACCCTCCTCCTTCCCCAGCTCCACCTGTATAGATCTGCTACGGGTTATTTTATATGCTATTTGTGCAGCAGCAGTATGTCTTAAATACTCACAGCACCGTATTGCCGTATGCATTGGCAGTAGCAAGTTCCTGTACTTGCTTGCAGCAGCAGCAATAATCTACAACTACAGCAATAACCAACAGCAGCAGCAATTCAGCAGCAGCGTTAGCATTACCATGCTAAAATCTTCAGAGAGTTGTTTGATAACAACATTGATAATAAGAATAAATATTTCTTCTTTCTAAGAAATATTTCAGCAGATCAGTTTATTACAATGATTTCTGAAAATTCAGCTTTGAATTACAGGAATAAATTACATTTTAAAATATATTACAGTAGGAAATGGTTATTTTAAATTTTAATAATATTTAACAATATTACTGTTTTTACTGTATTTTTGACCAAATAAATGCAGCCTTGTTGAGCATAAGAGACATCTTTCAAAAACATAAAAAGAAAAAAATTACTGACCCCAAACTTTTAAACAGTGTAATTTCCTGTTTCAGTTACATTTAGACAGTTTCCAGGTTACATATACGATATAATTACAGATGCACCACAATTAAAATAATAACTGATATTGCAATTCTAAAAATGCTAAAAGTGAATTTACTCAACACAACATTAAAATGTACAATATGAAAAATGGCTGTTCATTTTGAGATTTGTTAAAGATTACATTTACCAAGGTTTATTTTTTTATTTTTAAAGATTAATTTTGCTGTTATTTAACGCTCACTTAAATCTAATTTTAACAATAGGGGAAATGTTATAATGTGCTCCACCTTTCAAACAACTTAAATTTTTGCTGACTTCACTTAGGCTGCATAGGCTATTGGATAACATTTACCAATAGCGAAATATTTGGACTGTAACAATCTTCTTTTTACCATCCAATCAATTCCTGATGAATCAAATTAAGTCCTGCCGCACATTTTTCTAATCAAATATCCTGTTTCACTCAAAAACTAAAAATCGGACTCGGCTCACCTGACTCTCAGATCTTTCTCTGTGGCTGAATAGTTAACTCAATGTTTATTCCGTCCATTTCTTCTTGTGAACCGGTTGTGAACAATGATACGAGGGAATGACACTGAGAGGGTAATGAGCCAATCACAGTGCTGTGAAGTCACTGCTCATATTTGCTGCTTACCCTTCAAGACCTTTATGACAATGTAACAAGCTCAAGGGGAGGCCAAAAAAATGCTACCATCCTGGTGTTTCTGTTGGACATTGTTACTTTAGAAAAATGAGCGATTTATGAATTCGATTTTATCAGTTGTTTATATTCGTCTCATTTATTTCACGTCTGCATACATAATATTACATTTCCGTAGGTGACCCGCAGGCGTGTGCAAAGCACATCCACTGCCCTTCTCTTTCAAAGCCCGTGATGTAAAAGATAAATATTCAATGCCAAAGGGATATTAAACACACAGGCCCCTATAAAATAAACAATGCACAGTTGACCTCATAATGTTCTCCTCCTGTTCCCCCGAGTGAAGAGTGCAGGTGCAGTTTGCAGCGTAGACGCTCTCTTACTGCAGCCCACAGAGTTTAATGTGCTTCTCTAAATGAGTTCTCACTGATTTGATGTGTCCTCCTCGTACACCTTTTATTCTCCACTGGGCTAAGCAGTCTGATCTTTATTAACTAGCCCAAGCTCTCGCCATCTATCTCTGCCCGTTGGTCTCCGCTCCCCCATGGATACAACGTCACAGGCTAAAGCAACTGCAAGGGACAACTGTTCTCTGTGGCTTATTGTTCACATTTTTCATCTAATGGCCTGCAATGTCTCGTTTTCAAGAAAAAGCCCTGACTCTTTTCCTTTGTTAATGTTGGAAATTATTAGCTGTGCCAATAGCAAGTTTTTTCCAACCTGCTTCGGTATTAATTAGTTAGTCATTTAAACTGGGAAAAACTGCTCGGTGAACATCTGCTGGACCTCAGTGAAAATGCAACTGTTTTTACTCTAATTTTGATTAAATAAATAATTGTTGAGCATAAGATACTTCCTAGATTAAAGAATGTTATAGACCCCAAGCTTATGAACAGTTGTGCACAGTTGGGTTTCAAAAACTGAAAATTTACCCTCAGGACATCCAAGATGTAGATGAGCTTGTTTCTTCATTGGAACAGATTTGGAGAAATTTAGCATTATATCACTTGCTCACCAGTGGATCCTCTGCGGTGAATGGGTGCCGTCAGGTTGAGAGTCCAAACAGCTGATAAAAACATCACAATAATCTACAACTAATCCACAATTGTCTGTTTTGGACTGTTTTTGCTTGTAAATGGTGTTTGATCCTGTGCATATTTCTCTCCTGATTCAGACTAGACAACTGTTTCACTGGAGAAAGCAATATTATGGATAAAGGAGCAACGGTTTGAAATTAAAAACTCATTAATGATGGATTTGTTTATTACAAACACAAAGCGTTTCTCTTCACAAGTCTTTAATTAATGGACTGGAGTAGTGTGGATTACTTGTGGATTATTGTGATGTTTTTATCAGATGTTTGGACTCTCATTCTGACGGCACCCATTCACTGCAGAGGATCCAATGGTGAGCAAGTGATGCAATGCTAAATTTTTCCAAATCTGTTCAGGTGAAGAAACAAACTCATCTTTCAACAGGACTTTTTTACAGTGTATGATAGTGAGTAAATATTCAGCAATTTTTCATTTTTGGATTAAACTAGTTTTTTTAAAGAATTACTTTGCTGTCGTAACGCTCATTTAAATCTCAATGTAACAGTTATTTAAATCTCAGTGTAATGTTATTTTTAGTTTTCAGCTGTTAATGTAGGAAATTAGCTGTGCCAATAGCAAGGTTTTCTAACCTGCTTTATCATTAATTAGTTAGTCATTTAAACTGGAATAACTGCACAGTGAACGTCTACTGGAAGTCGATGCAAATCTGCTTAGAGCACAAGACTGTCCACCACCAGATGTAGAGCTAAACACTGATAAAGCTATAATTTCATCCTTCAATTCCCAACGATGCCTTCCTTTATTGCTCTTATATTACTCCCAGTCTATTTTTATTCATCAATTACATGTTAATAAGCTTCAGCGCCTTTAAGTCCTGTTTTCCATGTTCCAGGTATGAGCGTACGAGGGTCCAGAGCCTGGCGACCCAACACCATCCCAGTCTCCTTGCTTTCTATCATCGCGTTATCGACACTGCGACCGGCTTTGTGTTAACGGTCCGAAGGATCGAACATCCTCTGACCGGTTTGATTGCCTGCACTCTTCCTCGCCGTGGAATCGTTGGAGAGGTGCACCAAAACACTTTTGAAGAGAGATTATCGATCTATCTCTCCATAGTTATCTGAGGCAATGCCCAGCGAGGCCTTCAAGGAGCGTAACGGGAAAACGTCAGCGTCACGGTGGTCAGATTTCATGTGCATGTGTTATGTACTGTGTATCATTGTGTCCTTGCAAGTGATCCGAGACCCTAACAAGGTTTCAACCGAAGGTTTTTGAAGCGTATTGGTGTATGAGGAGGGATGAGTCATGTTACTGCACTAAGATTTCACCTTCTCATTGATCATCCGTCGGAACAAATGCCTTACTTCCATGTACATGCCAAAGTAGTTAACATCCTTTTACTTCTTACTAAGCTACTGTTTGTTAAACTTATGATTGTTTTGTAGTTATCACATCATTAATTGAAGGATTAGTTCACCCAAAAATCATTTACACACCCTCATGTTGTTGTCATGTGACTTTAATTGGCTGTGGGACACAAAGTGCGATTTTAAAGAATGTTGCTATGAATGGAGAGAGAGGCCTTTTAAAGTAATAGTTCACTCAAAAATGAAAATTCACTTACACTCAGGTCCTCCAAGATGTAGATGAGTTTGTTTCTTAATCAAAACAGGTTTGGAGAAATTTAGCATTACATCACTTGTTCACCAGTGGATCCTCTGCAGTGAATGGGTGCCGTCAGAATGAGAGTCCAAACAGCTGATATCACAATAATCCACACCACTCCAGTCCATCTTGTAAACTGAAAAACCACTTGTTTGTAAGAAACAAATCCATCATTAAGGCATTTTAACTTTTTCACCATCACTTGCCAAAATCTATAAAACCGTACAGTGAAAAAGTCCATCCCCTGTTGTTCTCTCGCATCAAAATCAACCCTACATATTTGTTCAGAACTAATTTAAACTGTTTTTTGCTTTTCAACATTGCTTGATCTGTGCATATTTCTTTCCTGATTCAAACCAGACAACATTTTTGCTGGAGAAACCAATATTGTAGATAGAGGAAGATGTTAAAAACATCTTACAGATGGATTTATTACAAACACTCAGCTCTTCACACAACATTAACTGATGAACTGGAGTCGTTTGGATTAGTTGTGGATTATTATAATATTTTTATCAGCTGTTTGGACTCTCATCCTGACGGCACCCATTCACTGCAGAGAATCCACTGTTGAGCAAGTGATGTAATGCTAAATTTCTCCAAATCTGTTCCGAGGAAAAAACAAACTCATCTACATCTTGGATGACCTGAGGATGAGTACATTTCCAGCTAATTTACATTTTTGAGGTCATAAAAGAGCTATAAAAATATCATAAATGTGGTCCATACAACTCCACTACAAATTCATATGAGAATTTTATGTGAGAAGGAAGCCAAAAAATTCACCTTTTGTGTTTTAAAGAAAAAAGTAAGACATTTGGAACAACATGAGGGTGAGTAAATAATGACAGAAGGCTCATATTTTGTGTGAATGATCCCTTTAAGCTGTTTGTTATACTTGTGATTGTTCTGTAATCACATCATTAATTAACATTTAGCCTTTGCTTATTAGTTCAGTTATTTGTTCAAGAGTTGTCTCTGTGCCTTATCTATGTTTTAGCACACACATGGCTTGTATTTGTTTGCTCCAGGCACCATGTTGCAGCTACAAGCCTCTAGTATTCATGATTGTCAAAGTGCTACAGTACATTCACAGGTTTTGTGACAACAAGATCTACACTATTTGAACTGCGTTAACACTAGGAGAGGTTATGGGTAAATCTGGGTATACTCACAGCGATAAAGTAATGATATCATATGATAGTGACATGAGGGAACTTATTAGACTTTTATAAATATGCTGGAGATGTTCTTAGTTTAGAATTTGATAAAGCATTTAGACACTTAATGCAGTCATAATGATTTGGTTTAATAAAGAATAATTTAATAATTTTTGATGATCAAAAATGCACTGTTTTAGTAATAGGTGGGCAACCAATTATTACAGTATTACAATATGAGAGATGTTAGATTTTCTTTCCTCACTAACAGAAATTCTGGAGTGCTAAAGTCACATTTTAACGACCTTTTTTTATTAGTATCACTTAATTATCCCTTGTGAAAAAGAAATGTTCTTAATTGTATTCAATTTGCACTTGTAGTGTACTTTCAATCTTAAAAAAGTACTTGCAGATAATATTAATGAATAAAGGCCACTGTAGTGTATTCACTTTTAATGACTGTTTAACTATAAAGTAAATTTTTAATCATTGTTTAAATAATATTTTGTCATACTTCAAAGAAGTACACTTATTGCACATGCAAACAACGTGATTAAAATTTTAACTGTAGTGTGTTAAGATTACACAGTTAATAGATTTATACTAAATTGCTTCATTGCAAATGTGTAATTACACATATATTTCGATAAATGACAAACAAGTTTTAATAGAACTGACATTAAAGCATTTTTTAGTTTACCATAAATGCTTATCAGTACATTCTATTCAGCAGTACACTTTTACCATATTTCAAAGACAATACAAGTGATTATGAATTTCTTTTAAAGTATATTATTTCCATAATACGTAGTCTTCTTAAAAGCATACCTAAGTGTACTTCTTTTTCACAAGGGATGACTCAAGTATTATACATTTTTGTCTTTTTGGGTTTTGGAAAACTGAAAATGAGTCTCCTGTACATGATATCAGTGTTTTTAATAGCGTTACAATTTTCAGATACAGCAAAGTGAGCCTGATAGGACAGGTTTAATGTATTAATAATCTGTTAAGCACTACAGCATAAACTCAGAATACATTCTTGACCTGATTTAACTTGATTTATTATATATAACAACAAATTAGGTGTCAGCTAGTGTTATTTTCTTTGCCCTTGGTTTATCTGCACACTGTTAGATCTGAGCAAGCATATTCAGTCTGCTGCCGGTGTTTCTTCACACAGCAGAGTATGCAAACAGTGTTGTATTGGCCGTTGCTTTTAGTACAGATAGTACAGATATCAGCGCATCCCTAGTTGTTATTCGTTTTAAAAGGGTGGGCAGCGCTGGATACTGCACACGTCTGCTGTATCTTAAACCAGAAATGCTGAATGGTTGCTAAGAGTCACTTGTGTTTTTTGTTTTTGGCCATGTACATTGTGACTTGTTTTTCTGTGACTGTTAAAAGTTCTGGTACTTTATGTATTCGAAGCTTGTTTAGCAAACCTCAGATAAATAGTTTGTGTTTTATTTGTCACTTTCTCGCTGTGCTGGACTGCGGCGCAGATTCTAGGCCACTCACCAGATGCTCCTCCGGGCCTTTATCAGCTGAATCAGATGTGTTTAGGAAAGTTCGGGGCAAAAAACTGCTTACCCACTAGCGCTCAAATTGCTTTAGACTCTTTCAGTCCTGGTAATTAAAGGAATAGTTCACCCAAAAATGAAAAATTGCTGAACATTTACTCACACCATCCAAAACGTATATGAGTTTGTTTCTTTGAGGTAACAGATTTGGAGAAATTTAGCATTACATCACTTTCTCACCAATGGATGCTCTGCAGTGAATGGGTGCCGTCAGAAAGAGAGTCCAAACAGCTGATGAAAACATCACAATAATCCACAAGTAATCCACACAACTCCAGTCTATCAATTATTGTGATGTTTTTATCAGCTGTTTGGACTCTCATTCTGACGGCACCCATTCACTGCAGAGGATCCATTGGTGAGCAAGTGATGTAATGCTGAATTTGATGAAGAAACAAACTCATCTACTTCTTGGATGGCCTGAGGGTGAGTAAATTTTCAGCATTTTTAGGTGAACTATTCATTTAATTATTATGCTTGTGTATTGCTATCCTAAAATAAAATATGGCCTAAAACATTGCTGTCGAAAGATATAAACACAAAAACGCAGAAAAAATGAGAGCCCAGACCTGAAAGCACATGGTTTGACTGATCCTTACCGTGCTGTAGAAGCCATTAAACTGCGCTAATAAATTATAGTGCGCCCTGCAGTGGCTTTTTACCAAATCTGCAAGGGAATAATGGTTATTAGCAGAGGCGAAGACAAGATGGATGTGACATGAACAGCATAGCGAGCTGTATCAGGACTGTCCAGACAGCTGACGAGGAGCAGCTTTGCTTTTCGTTCTTTTGTTTCTCCTCATGAAAGGGATGTGGCCACCTTTCTGTGTCATTTTAGGATGACCGCACTAAAAGGGCCTTTGTACGACTCTCACTTACGCACATTTGAGGAGACTCCAGGGTGTTGTTCAAGGCCACCCGCACACTCGGCCTTGGTTTTGAATTGTAAGGTCAAATAGGAAGCAGTCAGAAGTGAGAGTAAATGAAAATGCTCTCTGAGTGAGAAAAGTCGCATTGTCCCTACAGCCTTGCCGTACAATATAGATGTCACATCAAACTCTGTTGAAGCTCTTGGATGTTTTTGTGTCCGGGATGAAGGCTGCTGCATGATTTTGATTTAACCTTTGATAATGGCTGCTGACATTTAGGTGCCTGTTGGGACTTGTGTATTTTGTTCTGGATTGTCAGCCCATTTTGTGAATATTATTCATATTTTCTCTGGAGTTGCTTCAGAGTACTTCATCTGAGATCCTTAAGTGCTTATTATAAATGTAAGAAACAAAAACAAAAAAAAACAAAAAATCATTGGTTTATGTGATTGCTTCTGAAAAAGGTGAAAATAAAATTGTTTTGTATTTTGTAAGTATTGTTTTGTTGTTTCAGTTTTATGACATCAACTTGTAATGGCTTTTTGTTAAAGGTCAAGTGTTGTCCTTTAAAAGTAAAGTAATTTGATTATGGCTGTCACAGATTGATTTGTGGAAAGATTATGTAGTGGAATGCAAGATGATATTTTGTTCCTCTTTGGTTGAAATGTCGACGCGATCAAGATTACCTTGTGTTTTCGTGTGTTAGATTCAAATAGATCCACCTTCCATATGAATACATGTAACAACACTTGACCTAATGTTTTGATATTTCTGTATTAATACATTTTGTTTATTGAATACATCTCTGTGAGATGATGGCCTGGAGCTGAATACCGTTTTCATATTGAAAAGAATTGGATTGTGTATAGTAAAGCTGTGCATGTTGATTGTTTAATGTGTGTACATTTTCTAAAGCAAATTTAATAAAACAACTTACTGGACATTTACCTCCATAATGTCAAGGTACTGGGTCATTTTATATTTTACTATATATATATATATATATATATATATAAAGACAGCAAGTAGCAGGATGACAAAACCTGCTAGTAAATACAAAGTTCTGTCATGAAACTCTAGACTCTAGATGGTGCAAGCCGATAGGTTCTAACTCAATCGGACATAATGACATCATTATTCACATGGCGCAGCTGATTGGTTCCTTTTCACATCAGCAGCCAATGAGCTTGCTGCTCAACATTCAAATACTTGGCTAGTACTTGCTATAGCAGTTGCAGAAACATGCTTCAGAAACCCTTCCCCTTCCCCAGCTCCACCTGTATAGATCTGCTACGGGGTAATGTTATGTATGTAATATATGGGGGTAATTTCATATATGCTAT